AGAGCTAAATAACTGTAAATGACGTAACATGCAATGGTGGGTAATTTCAGGTATAAAAAACATTTGCACTTTTAATCATATTTTATGCTTACTAAAGAACAATTCACTGAACTGTTAGTAAAACCTAGGAAATATTAGATTTTACAGATTTTCCTTATATGATACACATGTTAACAATCTAGATCCCTTTGATGGGTAAATTGATTGATGATGTGCGATCTCAATATTCATGTGTGTTCTAGTCTGTCTGTCACCTTGCCCTTTTGTAAGGTTTTCCTCTGTAGTTGACTCATAAACCTGAGGGAATATGCCTAGTCACAAAGTATCCACGCCAGGGGAGGCTGGTTGCTATAGTAATAGCCATACAGCATGTGATGAAGATGGAAATTAATAATGTTACTGAAATGGGCCAGCACCTTATGTCAGGATGGATAACAATCAGCTCTTTAAATCACAGGTACTGATAATGAATGATTTTGCAAAAGTGTATGTTTTTGATGCCAGTGCTGTGTGTAGTGGCACAGATGTGATTATAATTACACATAAATTAAAATGTTAAATGGAACACTTTGTTTTATTGTTCCGGTATCTTTTTTTTTTCTTTTTCTTTTTCTAAATACTGAGTTCCTTATCAACATGCAGCAAAGTGGATAGAAAGCATTACCTGCCAGAGCTTTTTATCTTCGCGTTCAATCATGCAACTCTGCATTACAAAGGCACTCTGTTTAAAGGAAAATCACCACCTGTACTATCTTCATCTTAAATATGTGTCCATCTGTAATGGTGGCTTTCACTGTAAAAAAAATAAAATACATAAAAACACCATTGTGGGTGATGGTGTAAAATAGTACAATAATAATATAACAAATTCATAGCAATTTTGATAAGGATCAATGATGATTAATACATATCTTATTTGCCCACTTAATAGTATTCATGTTAACTCTAAAGTATTCACAATGTTGTGTTTATACCATTGTTGATGGAATTTATATCTGTACCAAAGCTTGTTGACTCTAGTAGAGTCTGCACTTGCTATACACATATATACTGGGAAAATGTTTAAATATCATGATCAAAAGTACTATTTCATAGTTTGGGCTACACTTGGCAACACCTAGATGGGGTTTAGGTCTGCACCTTAACATACCCCCAACATTGGGGCTGAAGGGGGCTTGACATTAATGGACTGCTAGCACCGCTTAGAAGGGTGGAAAGTCCCCCATATAGTACTGGTAGGTCAGCCTAGCATGAATGTGTGCCATGCTGCCAGTAATCAATCAGGCTGGCCCACCGAGGGCATTCTGCACAGGCCTTGCACCCTGAGGGAAGTCCAAGTGCTTTTAATGATGCACTTTTTGGGGACAGTTGTCTGGTGTCCTACTTTTGGGGATGTCTGGACAGAACCCGAATTTAAGGACTGTTCCACTAAAATAGAGATTGTTGGTAGGCATGCTTTAAATAGATCATACAACAATTGTATTCCTTCTTCCATAATTATAGATCTGCTTGTATATTCAGCTTTTTTTGTATTGTTGCCTTACCCATGTTTGGATCAGTTTCAGCTGAAGCCGGAACGGCCGGACGTTTTCTGTGAAATCTTATTCTGATACATTTCAGAGTTCATGGTTGTATCTTTTTTCCTAGTTATCCAGATTCTAAAGGCAGCAAATCAGCTCAAACTATCCCTTCACCATTGTTTGGCAATTAGAATGAAGCTCATCTTGATGGGGAGTTGACATTTATCTATTTGAACTGTGTGTTTTTTTGACAATATAACTTATATCATTGAGGCCAGACATTTATAATTTTGACTTGCTTATCCAGGGATATTGCTTTAATAGACTCGTGGATCTTTTTGAATATAACAAACTTCAGGTGGTCAGCAGTGTTTTTTTTTTTTGTTTGTTTGTTTTTTTTTTACCCTGATTTTTTTTCCACAATGTATCCTACATAAGGTATTTCATTAATGTATGCTATACATATTGTTCAGAGGCTCATATTTTTAAAGATCTTTATTTATAAGCCAAGTGCAGCAGGACAGTAGCAATATGCGTGGTCCGAGAGATATCGTGATACAGCATTAACATTTGATAAACATGAAATAACAAGGAAAACAAACAAATAAGAAGAAAATATAGAAAAAAAATCCATCAGAAGAGGAGCCAACTAACTTTAATTCAAAAAAAAAAAAAAGAGGCCATCAAATTATTTTGAGAAATCACCACAGGGGGCAGACTTTCTCATGAGGCACGAAAATTGTGTACAATCGCCATTAGCCTATTTATAAATCGGTTATCAATAATTTTTGCAAAGACATCTAAAGAAGAAACATTTGTATGCAGCCATTTAGAGGCTATAGCCCTAAGGGTAGCCAATATTAATATGCTGTGCAGTTGTTTTAAGATGCCAAGGGAAATCCATACAAGGGTATGTGAAACAAATCCAGCAATAATTGTTTAATGTTGTGACAAAAATGGGCAACCTTGGGGTTAATCCAACCGCAGGACCTCCAGCACAAGTTAGTCAGTGTCCACCCCTTTTCGGGAACAATTTTCACCAGGGTGGCATACCAACACATCATGAGTTTCAAAATTTGTTCTTGTTTGGACTACTATAGCATTTTTACCCTCTCATATGTCCCTCCCCCACTCCCTCCAGATGACAACTTCCTCACATTTGTAGTGAAATACATCTTTGTTTAATAAATCATGTGTAAATAGTTTGTTTGTCAGTATAAACATATGGTGAGTTTGTCACGTTCAGAGACTGTTCTCATTCTCCCACCCCACTATACGCAATATTTGCCATGAGAATGAAATTATTTCTAAGGCTATTCTACGTATTTCTGATCTGTCTAAAAAACCTAGGAAATCCCGTATGTGTTTTAAAGTCTTAGGGCATTGTCAGTGAGATGCACTGATCTTTCTAGACAGCAGTAAATAATTACTCAATGTCTGTATTCCACTATAAGTCGTACAGTGACAATCTGCTGCTTACTTCAAGTGTTTATCTCTCTATACTCTTCTACCTATCAATCAACTGATCTGTACATTTAAATCACTGGCTAAAATAATCAAAAATGGCCAATTTGTAATCCTTCCCTTGCTCTTTGTAGCCAGGAAATCTGAATTTAAGCTGACAGACCCAATTCAGACATTCCTTCTCTTTGACCAGATAAGATTTTATCAAACGCCAAGAACATTCTGTTCACAAACATGTATGACAAACATTTCTTAAGAATAAATCTCTTTATTTGATTCATGCTGGTGTCCAACGATATGTTATTTTCCTTTTTATTCAGTTTCTATTGAGCATTGTGGAAGAAACATTGGACACTGTCTGCGTACTGTAATAAATGAAATGCGGCATGATTTATCTTGTTAATTAATAATTAGGAGGCTGATGTTCCACCAAAGCTTTCACTGAGTTGGCACCAGCACTTCCTGAGTCATTGTAAATTAGTGGAGCTGAGAAAATGCTGTTCTTAGTCCTCTAGTTTGTGAAGTTTGATAGAGGGGTCTTTGCAGTTGATGTGAATACTTGTACGCATTCCCTCTGGAAAATGAAAATAAATTCATAAATAGCATTTATTCCAAATTGAATACTAAAAATGTCCACAGTGTTTACTTGCTGGACATTTTAAAAGCAAAGAACAAATACAGACTGGAATGAGGATCAACAATAAAGTGTGCGAATAACAGTAGTGGATCACAGCAGTCTTTTATTGTTCATTCAAGAACAGTTGTCTTGTCAACTATAAATCTGTTTCTGTGCGTCTGGTTACAATTACATGTCTGTTAGTCCATCCATTGTACAGCGCTACGGAATCTGATGGCGCTATATAAATAATTAATGAACACTTGCTGGGCAATCATACAGACTTTGTAGATAACCAAGCCTGCATAGTGCTGAGTACTGTGAAATCACTCGCTCAAGGTTAAAATTTCCCTTTGCAGTTGAAAGTGCATTTAATGATGATGTGTTTTGGGTATTTTTTTATGTATCTCTAAAGAAACTGGACACCAGGAAAAAGAAAATCCTGAATGATGGACCAAGGGTCACAAATCTGAATAGCACAATCAGACCTGGAATGGTGATAGGCAGGCCTGCCAACATTTCAAAAGGATAGAGAGAGCCTTTTTAATTTTAGGGGTGTACCCAGTTGCAGGGCTGTACTTGAGAAATTCTAGGTGACTTGCTATTAAAAATATATGCAACTAAAATGTGGAGCAAAAAACAGGGTGCAAGAGAATTCTAAGAATGTACAACAGCTCTTTCGGTGGGTTTTAGCTCATCTTGTGCAATTACAAAAAGAACCAGGGCCATTTGTATGTCAGACTGATCCCACGATTGCTAACGGTGCCTATATAGATATCAGCTATAACCCACTGACCAGTGGCGTACACACCAGGGTCGCAGGGGTCGCGGCTGGCCCAGGAGGCGGCCCCCTGAGGCTGGCCCTGCTGTCACCGGGCAGGCAGGCGGGAGGGAGGGCGCGCGAGGGAGCACTCTGCCCTGAGTGCTTCCTCTTCAGCTCCCTCGCGCGCCGCACTGATGCCGGAGCCGGAAGATGAACTCATCTTCCGGCTCCGGCATCCCTATGCGGCGCACGAGGGAGCTGAAGAGGAAGCACTCAGAGCAGAGTGCTCCCTCGCGCGCCGGCCACCCAGGAGCCCAGCAGCAGCACCACTGGACCCCAGGGAATCCCCCCAGCACTCCAAAAGGTAAGGAGGTTGGGAGGATTACATTTTAAAAAAAATGTGTTTGTGTGTGTGCTAGTATGTGTGTCAGTGAGTGTGTCTGTTATTGGGTGTGTGTTTGTCAGTGAAAGTGTATGTTTTGTAAGTGAGTATGTATGTCTGTGGCTGAGTGTGTATCTGTCAGTAAATGTGTGTGTCTGTTAGCTAGTGTGTATGCGTCTGTTCATGAGAGTGTGTGTGTTTGTCTTCAGCATTTACCTTTCTCCAGCGTCGGACTCCCTTGGCGCTGGGGATCCCTCCGCCTCTGAGCTCTGAATGCACATGCGCGGCAAGAGGCACGCGTGCGCATTTAAACCGCCCGTAGGAAAGCATTACTCAATGCTTTCCTATGGACGTTCAGTGTCTTCTCACTGTGATTTTCACAGTGAGAATCGCGGAAGCTCCTCTAGCAGCTGTCAATGAGACAGCCACCAGAGGCTAGATTAACCCTCAGTGAAACATAGCCGTTTCTCTGAAACGGCTATGTTTTCAGCTGCAGGGTTAAAACTAGAGGGACCTGGCACCCAGACCACTTCATTGAGCTGATGTGATCTGGGTGTCTGTAGTGGTCCTTTAAGTGTGTGTGCATACCGCGGTCGCGGGGTCGCAGCCCTGCAACCCCTACGACCAGGTGCCCGCCGCCATGTGTTGCGGCCCCAACCCGTGCCGAGTAAGCGCGGGGGGGGGCCCAACTAATTTCGCACCGGGGCCCCATGGGTCATGTGTACGCCACTGTTTCAACCTTGTTAGGCATTGTCAGTGGCAATCACCTGGGGTTCCTGTATCTCTCAAGCAGCAAAAGATGCCCTGCCTTCTGAATCTGTTCTGCCCTTTTGGGTGGAATCAGTCTGATATGGAAATGGCCCTGGTTCCTTTTGTAATGGCACAAGATCAACTAAAACCAGCTTGAGATCTAAACGGAGATCCACTGAAGGGCAAGCCATTTGAGCGGTTGTCTGTTTTCACTATTCTCTTGTACCCTGTCTTTTTTCCATCAACTAAAAGTTACAGCAAAAACAATGATTTGTATATACACAGACTGATTTCTAAATACATTTCACATCTACACATTTCTTGTAGTTTACAGATACAGTGCTGTGAGTATTGTTGCTGTATTAGCTCTGTTATACACAAAAATATGGATCTTCTGGAAAAGAGGGACATTAGGATGAACAAGCCCACTTTGGGCCCATATCCATCTGTGTCTTGTTTTTTTACATTTTTTAATCCTAAGTGAGGAGGTATCTATATATGTATGTGCATATTAAATTAGGGAATTGGGTTGCTGCATTTATAAGTAGAATAGCCATTAGCTATTAGATAAACATTATTCCTATTTCTTTTTACAATATTATCATCTAGCAGCCAGAAATTCTGCAATTAAGAGATTCCCGAATTATATGAATGTGTTTGATATTCTTTAATAAGATTGAGCATTAAAATGCCTTATCAAATAGTTCAGTGTCTGGTAGCAAAGTCGTGCAGCATTTCTTTTTCCTTTTGTGCTGCGGTTTTTGCCGCCCCTGTGTTTGAAGATGGGGCCAGTTACTGGATTAGCAGGTGTGGGTTTCTAGAGATAGCAAGCTGAGCTGAAACACACTTTAGATAAGGAATCGGTTACTGGCTCAGTGCAAGGCTTTATGGACAGGATATCACATTATGGTTTTATGCACAGAGCCACAAATGCATCTCATCCTTGTGTTTATTTCAGAGAAGAAACCCATCTTGAGAGCCTGTCAATCACATTTTTATTTCACATATAGGCTTGCAAGTTCAATAAAGTTTACATGAATCCAGCTGTAGATTTGGTAGCTTTGAATTAATAATAAATAAGACTAATAGCTTAATGTTTAGGCTATGCACAGTAGGACTATACCTATACACAATAAAGCATGCACCAGTGCTAAATGCAAATAGATATATGTGTAACTTAATGCAAACAACCTTGCAAAATCAGTAATCTGTTGTCTTTTAATGGGGAGAAGTTAAATGACCACTTTGGGCACCCAGACCACTTCACCTCAATGAAGTGGTCTGGGTACCAGGTCCATCTAGGGTTAACCCTGCCTGCTGTAAACATAGCAGTTTCAGAGAAACTGCTATGTTTACAATCGGGTTAATCCATCCTCTAGTGGCTGTCTCATTGACAGCCGCTGAAGGCGCTGCCGTTCATAGGAAAGCATGGACATTCAGCGGATGACATCGGAAGAGTGAGGAGAGTCCCCAGCGCTGAGGGAGCCTGGCGCTGGAGAAAGGGAAGAATTTAATCCATTCCTCCCCCTTCAGCCCAGCGGGAGTGGGACCCTGAGGGTGGGGGGGACCCTGAGGGTGGGGGGGACCCAAAGACCATATAGTGCCAGGAAATGAGTTTGTTTTCCTGGCACTATAGTGGTCTTTTAACTTCCTGCTGCAATTTTACTTGTTAAAAGGAACCCTCCAAGCGCCATAACCACTACACCTGGCTGTACTAGTAAGTAGTCAAACTGTTGAATGGTTTCCGAAATTACCTGGGGACTGCTTCGCACCAGTCCCCTCCTACTGGTCGACTCCTCCACCTTTAGTGTTTCTTAACCATTTTACACTTTTTGTCCTTTAACCCCATACATACAGTCCTATGCATACACACAAACTCGGGCACAGCAATACAAACAGACGCATAATCACATGTAGTTACAACATGCATAATCATACAATAATACACACACTCCTGTATACCAAGACACACATTAGCACACAGTCACACTCATACATAGATACATATAGTCACAAACAAAATATCATGTACGCAGTCCCATACATTCACAGTCACATACACTCACACACACACAGCCACTCACAGACCGTCTTATACTGACACACAGTCAAATTGAGTCACACTCAGACTCATTAAATTTCCCTCTCCTGCTCCTAACATTATGAGCACTTGGACAAAAGACCAGATGTTGGGGTCCCTGGTGGGGAAGCAGGAGCACCTACTGCCTCTATTGGAGAGGCCGCTCCCTCATTTCGAGACCTAGGCATAAGATAATAAAATTTAATATCCAGATCGATACACGGAGTGACAGGAGGGATGGGAGTTAGCCCCCCAGTTAGCATACTACTGAACCATGTAATATGCTATGTACTAAATTCTCATCTGTGCAGTCAAACCTATGTATTTCTCCTTTAATTTAAAAATATATATATATTTAACCAAATATCTTGATTGCCATTAGAATTCTAACGCCTGCCACTCACTTCTTCAAACTATACATGAAGATGAGACTGCAAAACCCTCTTTCACCCACTGAACATTTTCCATTATTTTAGAAAAGTACATTTCTGTCCTGACTTTTATTGGGTTCTCTGTATGTTTAGGATTAATTATTGCTGGCCAATTAAAGTGCACTTTTTGAACTGTTAATTAAACATACTAACTGCTTATTGCATGTACCCAGTGTGAATATAAGAAAAATGAATATGACAGCATAATTTCTGGTTTAATGCATTTGTTGATAAATGAGTGAGTTACATAACGTGCTGCGTTCCTTTATGAACCTCTTTTGCTATTTGTAATGTGTCTGTATTTAAATATTGCAGCTTGTTGAGGCCTATTATACACATACAGATCATTTCTCAGTTCTTCATTGAACCTGAAGTCTTAATTATTGTTAGCAGAGTCATGGAAACCTATACTTTAATGGTATGTGGGAAGTGATAGTTGGTAATCAGCCCACCTCTTGCTGTGGTACAAAGTGCTTATGGGGAACACTTTATTGCTTGCACTCTGATTGTTAAATTACTTAACACCCACTGGAAAACAGTCTATTGTATTATTCATACTGCAGCATAGGCCTGGATCTTTCTTACGTGGAGGTTATGGTTTTGGATGAACACTCAGCTTAGTACATAAGTATGCTTCAGAACTATGCGTCATTGTAGTACAGCACTAAGCATTCCTGTTGAATATAGAATTTGTACCCCCATATTCCCGTTATCTTTGCCTTTTCCAGTGGTTGCCTCTGTAATTATTGTCTTTTTTCATTAACCCATAATATTCCCTTGTAACAACTGATTTTATTATCTAATTACTTTAATGCTACATTTATGTAGAAGCATTGTGTGAACGGTATGTCTTTATTACAGTCTCACTCTCACTGTATCACTCTTTGCCCTGGGGACAGACAGTGCTGGGAGCTATATTTAGCTATAGGGTATCGAGAGATACTGAAATACTGAATTCACACACCCTCTACACCTGACTATCTATTCTTCAACAGAGATATTTAATTCCAGCTTTCATTCTTTGCATCTAAGAACCACACATGTAATTGTATAAACCATAAAAAAAAAAATGCTTCTCAATAAAGCAACATTTGTTATAGATCAACTGTAGCCCAGTTTGCCATTATAAAAATAATATTTTGTATATTTTTGTGCTTGACAGAAAATTTCGATTGATCCGAATGCCACGTGGTGATTTTGATTCAGACAAATTTTCCATGCAGTCTTTTCAGGCAAAATGTTTCAAACAAAACAATTGGCGTGAGAATATGCCTATTAGTGTACAGCAATAATAAAAAATTAAATCTTAATTTCCTCTGCCATTTTCTGATGCAAAAGACAAATCTCTGATTCACAAATTCATTGCCCGTTTTGTTTTTGTGATTCGACCATATGGCAGTTTGGAATTAAAGAATTTGGATGAATCGTTGATCAACTGAAATTCAGGCAAATTAATCTGAAATTGTGATTCATTTGAATCCAAATGCACAAGTCTCAAAAAGTATTATGCGTGGTGTTGTAAGATGAGTATGTATTAACCTCTTAACCTGTATTCATGGGTGACCCAGTGGGTACTGCAACTGTAGGTGTACTAAACAAAAATGACTATAAGGATAATTCTCTCTAAAATGGTTCTCTGGCACGATTTCAGTAAATTGCTTTTGCTGAGGTGATGAATAATTTCTTCTTATTTTGTTAATAAATGTATTGGACTGAGCTTATTGCTGTTTACAAGAAGCATAAAGCTGCCTAGTGGTTATGTGAGTTGTAGTACATCCACTGCTAATATGTTCACTGCAGTTTGTGTGTACTTTATTTAGCATACTTGTTAAATAAACAGGGAGATATTTATCTGGCAAAACACCTCTTCTAGGAGAAAGTGCAAACTGTTGAAAGACATGCTCTTCGTTTCCATGGTGATTGCTCTTTTACAAGTACTTATCCTCAGGACAAGCGTTTTTATTTGTGCTTCAAAAAAAAGTATGCATTTTCAAAATGACTTTCCCTTTTTTGGCATGCTTTAGATTTATTAAAAATATTTATTTGCTATGTTGTGTATTGCAGTGGACTTAAAGGTAAAAGGTAATGGTTGCATTTCTGACATTATATCTAGAAATATCTATACAATTTTGAACTGGGGTTTAATCAATTTTTGTTTTGTTTTCGGAGCTTGGTTTTCATACCCACACAGTTAACTGTTTAGTGAATAGTCCTCCTCTCTTAATGCAATGATTGCTTAAAACCCTAGAACAAATTTTACCTAAGCTAGGAAGAAAATAGTGTAAATTAATGATAGACTAAAATTAATATTTAAATTTCACACAGACAACTATAAAAAAAAATGTTGTATTCTTTACAAATGAGTATCACCCTGAGGTGGGTTAAGAAATAAAAATTCCCTGCAAATAGAAAGTTCTGCCTTTAGTACAACAAGCTACATATGCATTAAAGATATAAATTAATTTCAGATTTTTCCTGTTTTTCAAAAGCATGTCTACATGTTCCATTAATCCAGATTAGAAGGGATTTACGTAAATCTATGACATGATGTTAAATATATTATAGGATTCCAGTATATGGGATTGCATTAACATTAACTTGTGCTTTTCAGTTTAAATTAAAAAGCGAACATGTGTAAGTGCTCAGTCAGTGGTGTTAGCTTGCTTTGCTCTGTGCTTGCCTCCTTTGTGAAAAGAACAGATCCTGTTGGTAATTGGTGGAATCAGATTTAACAATGTAGGCAGATAAACATTTGTGGCAGTCGCTACCATGGCAACGTCATATTGCTTCTCCTCCTTCCCTCCCTCCCCATCCTCCATTCGAGCCAGCGACACAGTGGTCCGTTCTGTGAAGAGGGTTTAATGGCAGAGCTCTTCTCTGGAGAAGCATTTTAACATGATGAACGAAGAAACTAGTCAAAAAACTGATGGAGGGGAAAGATATAATGGGGCCAACATGAGAAAGAAGAGACCCAAAAAGGTAACGCATCTGGAAAGGAGAGCACATCTGCACAGTGTTTAAAGCATGCTTCTTAAGGTCTGGACGGCTAGGATGAAGGCAGAGTGGTTTCTTAGGCGTGACTGAGGATTTTAGCTTCTCTCCTATTGCTGTAAGCTTCTTGTTCGAAGTAAAGGAACGGATTTGTACCGAGAGTGACAGATATCACCAGATTTACCTTGCCTGCAGCTGTAGCCAAAGTCTGCACAGCTAAAAATTTACCAGTTAACGATTTGTTTTGAGTGTACGTTTGTTTTTGCTGGCTTGCTAGGAAGCTGTGTGAGAAGGGCTGGTAAACTGAACGTTGCAAGCACATTGATGATGAGAGATGTTTAGATGGCTCTTTGGATTCACTGTAACCCTTGAAAGGTTACGCTGCATGACATAGTGGCTATTAACTGCATCAGTACCAGCTGTCACTATATTATTTAGCATTGTTTTGGTTTGCGTTTTGTTTATTTTATGTTGGTTATGAGTACATTCATACATAATGGAGAAAATTTTAGTATTAAACATAACAATTGCTTGCGAGAATCTCTTGAAATGGCAAATATATTGTGCACTGATTGTAAAATTGAATCTGACGTAAAATTCTAAGCAGCACAGGGGATCCAATAATGTGGCTACAAAATGCACTTATTTAGTGTGAAGATATTTGAAATAAGGTTATAGAAAGTAGATGGCAGTGTGGTATAAACAACATTGTACATTATGATGGCCACACCTTGCCATCACAATGTCTGTCTTTGGACTGTAGACAGACAGAAGCAGACACATTGCACAATACGCCACAACAGGGTCAACACTGATTTGCATACCATAATAAGCCAATTTATAAGCAGAGCTGAAATAAATGCTATTTCAGTGATTTCCGTTTAAAATTTATACTCTTGGACTTGGAGCTACGTTAGCTGATATATTAGCCTGTTTCGTTTGGTATAGTTGGAATTGGTATGTCTATTGATTTTGTAATCTATGAAACAGCTGGTCAAGCAGAAGGCTTCTCGGATGTGTCTTGTGGAAATTCTAAAGTAACCACGTTAAGAACAGAAGTGACAATTTGAAAATGATTACATTGCAAATACTGCTGCCGTCACCTTAAGTGTAAGGGTAATACAATTCCGTCTTGCAAAGTGACATATTTATAAGGGCAATGTGATTTACTAAGATAGGGGACTATTAAGCCAGCTACAAATTACTCATGTTTGTATAAATGTGCTTAACAAAATCCTGCTTGTTGTATTTATAGCAAATAGAAGTTTAATTTTTTTTACCTCAAACCTACTTTTTATCTAAAGTATTTTTGCTTCCTAGAATTCTGCTAAAATTAAAAAAAATAAATAAAAAAAAAAATAGTTGGCCTAACGCGTGATTGGTTTGTAGTCAGTAGGGTATTATTCTGTAGCACGCTTTCTTACTAATTAGACAATCAAAGGGGAATTAGTAATGTGTCCAATGATTGATGAAAGTATGTTCCTTCACATCTCTTAAGTACCATTCCTGGCATCTTTCACAGCAGATGCAAAGTGATTAAATAAATATTCTAGAAGATGTAACCTAGAAAAGATTTGAACTGTTGTTAGTCTTGCATTTTAATTGTAAATATTCCCATTTTGATTAGTTATATCAGATAAAAAAAATGTTTACTACTTGCCCATTGCATATGGTCTGTCTTAAAACGGATTACTTGTTAATCGGTGCATATAGTTTGCAAACTGATGAAACTGTTTGTTTTTTTTTCTTTTTGCGGTTGGTTCCTCTGTTTAGCAAAAATATACTTTGACCTTAGAAGGAACGTTGCTAAAATATGCTTGTAAGAGATACATTGGTATTAAAGTGCACTTCAAGAGCATAACCACTTTAAAGAAAAAACAAGCAATATTAAAAGAAAAGACGTGGCCTTAAGTTCGAAATTTATATTAAATTCACTTTTGAATTTCTGCCAATTCTCACTTTAGTGAATAATCCTCTATATATGATTTGTCCACCCTTGAACTTACTGTAATGGAAGCCTCACAACCTTCTTCCATTTCACTATGGTCCAGTACTGATGCTCACATCGCCAATGAAGGCGCTTTTGGCACTCTGACCGGCCCCATACACAGCAAACTGCAATGTCCTTGTGTGTTCAGACACCTTTCTATTACAGCCAGCATTACGTTTTTCAGCAATTTAAGCTACAGTAGCTCTTCTGTGTAATCAGACCAGACAGGCTAGCCTTTGATCCCCACGTGATTCAATGAGCCTTGGATGTCCATGACCTTGGCACCGGTTCACCAGTTGTTCTTCCTTGCACCACTTTTTGTAGGTACTAATCGCTGCATACTGGAAATACCCTACAAGACTTTCCATTTTGGATACTGACTGTAATGACATCCTAACATTATACATAATGAAACCTTTCTAGATTGTAAGCTTTTTCGAGCAGGGTCCTCTTCAGCCTATTGTTCCTGTAATATTTTTGTAATGGTCTCCTCTATTACATTTCCCCCTCCCTTTATAATATTGTAAAGTACTGTGGAATACGTTTGCACTATTTCGTGGTTTGTTCCTTGTGCTCTTGGGAGCAGCAGAGAACTGTCCCCGAAAGCACAATTTCATTCGACTCACTTACGCCCTGCTCATGGAAATAGCACCCTGCAGGAGCACTGAAACCATGCTCTTTGGATTTACTCTTATTGGGTTGGAGTGGATGATTAACAGGCAGCCTGGCATGTATTAACGTTCGGCTGAAATACTAGTTCTTCAGTTGGACACAGCATCATTTTGGGCAAGCCCACCCCTTTTGGGCAGTGCAAGTGAAACAATTTGCATCTCTGATCTGCCTCATTTTACCCATCCCAATGGCATCCTGATTCCAGGACACTAATGTTAAGTGGTAACCATACTTACTGCATGCCCCACAACAGTCACAATTATTTTCAAGTCCAGATTCACCATCCCAACTTTGTTTTCTGGTGTCGTCCTTTTTGAAACATGAAGGAACTGTCCCCAAAAAGTGTAGCTTGATTGCATCATTAGATGAGCTTGCGCTACACTGAGAGCTCAAGGACCCTGCTGAGAGCACAGAAACAGTGATCCATGCATGCCCTGCCCTCAATGGGCTGGCCTTCTTGATTTGCACTCAGTCTGACATGCATCCATGCCAGGCTTACCTGCCAGTAATTCGGGTGGACCGGCCCCCCTTTACTAGCCCTTTCACACCGGTGTCCCGCTTTACAATATGACAAGCCTCATACTTACTGTAATAATAGCCTAATATTATACATTAGGCCTCATACGTAATATAATGACATCCTCGTAATTTATGACTGGACTCATACTTACAACAGTATCAAGTTCATACTATACAACATGCTTAATCCTTATAGTATTGACATCCTGTACGACTTTTCTCATACTTCCTGCATTGACCTGTTTAAACTATATGACTATTCACATTCTTGCTGCATACATACAAGTTGTCCCTATGTAGGAAGGAAAGTTCCTACGTTGGGCCTAAATCCCTAATTGTTCTTTTTCTTAATTCGATTTTAGTGTCTGATAACTTATTAGTAAGTCCCCTAACACTCCTCGGAACACCCCCGCTCACACCTCTTTGTCCATTAGAAATGGTGGGATGCATGTTACTGTAATAACAGCTTTATACTATATGACTGGTCTCATACTTCCTTTAGCGTTAGCCCAACACTATATATTTACAAAAACTGTCCCCGTGCTTACTGTAATGAAGAACTTCCTATGATAGACACTGTCCTCATGCTTATTATAATAACCTCACACTGCATGTAATGTCTGGCATCGTATTTACTGTAGAAACATCATTGCACAATATACAATAACCTGATTCATACATACTGTAATGTCAGCCTCACACTGTATGGGATGATCAAATTCTCACTTAAATATGTGAAGTGACTAACTTCAGTTTCTGTAACAACAATGGCAAACTCTAATGGCCAGCTGTATATTCTAGTAACTAGCTTTTTTGCAATGCCTCATAAGGTCTATCTAATATCTAAAGTTGCCAAACTTTAGCTTCGACATCCTTTACCCCTTAAGGACCAAACTTCTGGAATAAAAGGGAATCATGACATGTCATGTGTCCTTAAGGGGTTAAACTATTTGATATGACAGCCTCAAACTGTCGGTCCAGACGATCGCTTATCCTTTTAAAGGGCACTTAAAATCACACTTACTAATGCTCACTCTCACCCACTTTCAACCAGGCAAGCTTAGTGCTTGCATCATGTTAATATTACATTATTATTATTATTATTATTATTGCCTTTACAATATTATGAGAGGGGGGATTAATTATAAATAGGACAATTACAAGAAAACTTACAGGAACAATAGGTTGAAGAGGACCCTGCTCCAACGAGCTTACAGTCTACTCTATAGAGTGTTAATTATCACACTGTCAAAACAAAAATACTCTTGTATGTGTGTGTGTGTTTAGTATTTTATTATTATTATTCCCTCCAAGGGTCTTTTGGATTAATTCTGGGAATAATTGTTGTACAAAATTCTGTATTTTTGGTTTGACCGAACTGACATTTACCGAAGTTCAGCCGAAACTAAACTAAACAAAAAAGCTTTCTGTGTACATCTCTAGTGCATTATATTTAATTTAATGATTAGTCTAGTACTTTGCTGTACTTATACCAGACCATGCTATAACTTGTATTGACTAGCCTTCCATGCAATTTCTATAAGAATCAACCTGATACTACCTACAATGGGCAGCTTCAGAGTATATTACTTATTTATTAAAAGGTTACTGTGCCAGCATTTAAGATTCAGATATGCCTCCTTAATTCTGACAGCTGTTAATCTTTTAATTACAGTCTGCTACTTCTAGTTTACAAATGTAAACTATTTATTAGCAATCACATCATCCAAAATAATCGCTAAACAAAATGCTATACTTGTAGAAACTAGATATTTAATTCTTTATAGTTTCAGCAGGTTTAGTTTTAAAAGCATAATTTGCTCCTTGTAGTAATTATCTGTTAAATTCCATATATTAAACTCTTAGATCTAGTAAAACAAGTTTTTGAATATTTATTTTTCAAAG